TGGCCCAATTCCCCGGATATTTGTGATCTTCCAAGCTATTGCCCTCTCGTGACGCCTTTATACCCCAATCAATTCTACCTTCTGCTCGGGTGTAAGATTGGTGTTGATGATGACTGGAATCTTCCCATCATCCCTCAAAAAGGCATACTCGAGGTGAGGAGGTAGCATTTTCAATTCCCGCTCGGGGGGTTCCTCCAGAGAGGTAGGGATTTTTGGCATTGAGGGTAATGCCTCCAATTCTTGATCTTGCGGGGGTTGGCTCCCACCCTCCCGGGAGTCCGGGGCGTCTGTTCCTACCAAACAACACTCCTCAAAAGGGTTAGAGGTAAGGGCACTCGCAGACGCAAGTGCCTCCATGAAGTCAAAAACCTCTTCGCAGTAATCAAAATCATCATAGCAACGAGACAACTTCATGCTATCATCAATAGAGAATGTGACCTCCTCCTCTCCTGCCCTAAGCACCAACCTACCCCCATGCACATCAATCAAGGCCTTGGCGGTGGTTAAGAAAGGTCTACCCAAGATGAGGGGGACCTCAACTTTCTCATCAATGTCTAAGATAACAAAGTCGACAAGAAAAATGAGAGGTCCTACTTTAATGAGCAGGTCTTCCGCAACACCTTTAGGTCGCACTACAGACCTATCTGCCAACTGAATATGCATCCTAGTGGCTCTAAGTTCTCCTAGTTCTAGCTTTTGAAACAACTTATAGGGCATCACATTAATGCTAGCTCCTAGGTCCGCCAAGGACTTTCCTATGCATACGTCACCAATAAAGCAAGGGATAGTGAAACTCCCTGGATCTTTGCGTTTCGAGGGCAAGTGGTTCTGCACGAAGGCAAAGCATTCCTCACTCAAGCTCATAGTAGCTACCCCTTCAAGCATCTTCTTGTTGGTGAGGAGGTCTTTCAAGTATTTTGCATACTTGGGCATTTGGGTGGCGGCCTCCAAGAAGGGAATGTTTAAATGCAACTGGTTCATCAACTCCAAGAAGTGGGAGAACTCCGCTGCCATGCGGTCGTTGCGGAGCCGTGAAGGATAAGGGAGAGTTGGGGTCGCTTTCCACTTTTCTTGCTCCGGTTGAGGGGTCGGAGTGATATCCTCTTCTTAAGAGGTCGGTTGAGGAGTCGTAGAGTCGAGGTCCCCTTCCCTGGTGGCTTCCGGCTGCGAGGGGAGGTTACCACCCCCTCTGTTGCGAGTTTTTTCTTCTTTGGGGGTAGCTCATTGGCCTCTCTTCCACTTCGAAGAGTAACGGCTACTACGTCAACTTCGTTGGCTGACTTCCAAGACCGAGCCGCTTGCGAGATAACCCCTATGCTTGTGGCCAGGTTGATCAAGTGGGTTTCCTGACTCCCCCCCCCCCCCTTTTATGGTCGAGAACTTCTTTGTTGCCTCTCCAATGAATCTTTCGATTCAAACTTTTTAGAGATGGAGGCGACAAAGGTCGTCACCACCTCCTCAAGGCGCTCATCTGGTGATACTCTACTTCCTCGAGCATTACCCTGATCAATGATCTAACTTCACTTCAAGTGGGTTCATAAAGCTTCCCATCAAAGTCGGGGCTTCCTCTTCTCTCTCGGCTATGCTAGCTCTCTCTCCCGTGCTAGGAGCCGGAGAGTTCGGTTTATGTCTTCGTCAAGTGGTAGCAAAGGTGTCGAGTTACTCCGGGTCATGCACCACCTACACACAATCGTAAAAGACACCAAGTCTAGCACAAGCAAAGCACACACTTGAAAAACTGGAAATAAAAAACTAGATCAACAACCAACAACTTTTTCAAGATAACAGACCGTTGTCCCCGGCAACGGCGCCAAAAACTTGACTCACACAAAACTACACCACAATAAAATCCCGATGAGTCCAAATTTTTAAACTCTAGTCGGGTGCAACATAGAGCAAGTATTTAGATATCAACCCGGGCTGGTCAGTCTACCCCTACTTCAATTGTTGAAATCATTATCTAGCAACAAAGTTTTGGTTTGAAAGTTTGCTAATTATAATAAAATAAAGCAGCGGTATATGGGTTTGAAAACTCTTTTGTGGAAGGATCACTCGGGAGTCGCTTCCCCCTAACTACTACCATGATATGTGAATTGGAACGATTGTTTTCGGCAATGTAATCGCGAACCGCAGAGGGATGCATATATGGTCGGGGACCACAATCTCGATTGCTAAACCGAGGTGAACATTAAAGGCTGTGTCACTCAACCCTCTCGGTTCGCAATCGGTAATTGACTTACTCCCTCACTCAACTCAAAGGTCGGACGGCTTAATCACGATTAACCTATTTGCTTAATTCAACACTGAGGGTTGCCCTAAATTAACCTAGTTAGGTGGCTTAAAAGCTGAAGGAAAACCAACTCGATTGAGTCTCCCTTGGAAGGGGGATTTTCCTCACTAAGCTAGGTTAATGTGGCTAATTAGATTGCTAGCACCAACATGCACAAACCTAAGGGTGCTAAGCACAATTAAGCACAACCCTTAGGTTGCTAAGCACCAAAATGCACAAACCTAAGAATGCTAAGCACAAAACATGCACAACCCTTAGGTTGCTAAGCACAAGCATGCACAATCAATCATGAAAAATACCTCAATCATTGAATTAAACAATACCCAATGACAATAATTCAATTCACATCAAAGAAACTACATGGTAGAGTTAGGGTTTCACAACACCCAAGTGAAAGGAGATCTACTCCATGCTAGAAATGGGGAAAACATAAAGAGAAGAAGAGGAAACCATCTTGGAGGATGCTCCCACTCTCCTTGGCCCTTGTGTTAAGCTATCCTTGGAGGAAATCTTCCAAAAATCTACCTTGAAGCAAAACCTTAGCCTTCTTCTTCCTTGGTTCGTGTTTCTCTCTCTAGAAATCTGAAGAAGGCTTTTCACACAAAGTGGGCTCTCCCCTCTCTCCTCCTTTCAGCTCATCATTTAAACCAGACACGAGCTCAGTTCACGGCCGTGAACCACGAAACGCGTCCGTGAACTGCAGGCGTGCGCCTAAACGCACCGCTTCGATCTCTTCTGTTCACGGTCAACAGCCTTCGTGCACGGTCTTTGTGACCGTGAACTGACCTTGCGTCAGTAACCTCCATTTTGGCTCTGGACGCCTTGCGATTCACGGTCAAGGTCTCTTCTTCACGGTCGTGCAAAACCGTGAACTTCCTCGGATAGCCGTGAACTGGCACTTTTTCACCTCTTTTCTCGGTTTTCAATCCTTTTCGTCCAACTTTCGACTCCGACACTAGTTTCACCTGATAAACCCTGAAACACACTAAAACACGAGGAACATAGCATAAAACACCTAAGTAAAACGGGGCAAAACATGTACAATTAGGCCCGAATCAGCATCCCTCTGCGATCCGCGGTTACCTTGCCCATAGCAATCGTTCCAATCCACCGAGTCTTGGTAGCTAGTTAGTGGGAAGCAACTCCTGGGTGAAGCTCCCTTAGTTAGACTTTTCCTTTATTTACTTTTCCTTGCTAGTTTAGTTTGTAGTTTTTTTAGTTTTAAAACCCAAAATCGCTTTGCTAGATAACAACTTAAGCGATTGAAGTAGGGGTACATGGACCGGCCCGGGTTGACAATTTAAATACTTGCTCTATACTGCAACCGGCTAGAGTTTAAAAACTTGGACTCTAATTGGGATTAATTTGTGGTGTAGTTTCTTGCGAGTCACAGATGCACCACCGCTTTGCCCAACAACACCGAATTTGCTATGCTTTCCGTACAAACAGATGGGAAGGAGGCGTGTCACAAGAGCTCTGCAAAAACGACATGGCTGGTGGCGTGCATACAGAGAGGAGGTCATTCAGAGAAGGACAGTGAAACTGATAGATGGGCAGGGGGAAAAGCATAGTCGCACAGTGCAGCAGCCAAACACTTCTAATGGGTTGGGGAGGTCACCAAAGTCGGGTTTCAAAAGAGCGGTTTGAGGGAGCAGCTCATTAGACGCCAAAAATTGAAACAGTAGCAAGAAATTTTGGAAAAAGCGTACCCACTAATTATATGTAAAAACAATGATTTGTCATTTAAAAAAATACTAAAAATGTAAAATAATTTTTTTTTATCACAATGGGATCATTCCCATTATTGTCGTTCTACTCCATTCCTCCATAGCTATTTGTTCCCAATTCTGCTTTGTTTTCTTGTTTTTTTCGCTTTCGTGGATAAGTTCAACAGCTTGTCTCTCTATTGCATCATTTTGTCGCTATTCTCTCGATTTCGATTCCGTTTGGGGAATTCCGATCGAATTATGATTTCGTTGAATGCGAGATTAGGACAGTTGAGGAGGTTTGTTCCTCTAGCTTGTTCGAATTTGGGAATGTGTGGTTATTGAATTGGTTCATGTGCTCGGAGATTGAGAGGACTCTCTCTCGTAGGGATGGCAAATTACCCACCCATGGGTAATTATACCCAAACCCAAGTAGACCCATTGATAATGGGTTGGGTATGGGTGAAGTGCATATGGATTTGGGGGTTTATAGATGGGTTTGGGTAAGGTATGAATATTGCTTCCATATTCTAAATGGGTATGAGTTGGATATGGATATCCATTTACTTGAGGGTGTTTTAACTACACATGCAAAAATTGGACCTATTTGTAAAACTTGAAAAGTTTAGGTACCAAAATGTAAAACCAAAAAAATTTAGGTACCAAAACGTAATTTTCCATCGATATTTTGAGGACTTATATGCAAAAAAAATTAATTTTAGGTACTAAATATGCATATCTATTAAGTTTGGGGTACCAAACTGTAATTTGTATTTGGGCATGGGTACAAACCCAAATCCATTTGATATAAACCCAACTCAACCCAAAGTAAATGGGTATGGGTACAAACTCATCAAACTCTACCCATATCCATCTATTTGGATTTCATACCCAACCCAATTGGGTTGGATAGTAAGAAACCCATGGGTATGGGCAAAGTTGCCATCCTAACTCTCTCGTCTCCCTTTGTGCACTTTTCCCCTACTGCTCCGCAGCGGATGAGGATGATAATCAAGCGGAACCTAAAATTACTAATGGCAAGACTCGAGCGGTGTAAACTTGAGGTTGCGGGGCGTGAGCCAGACAATACCTCAGTTTTGTTTCAAAAGAAGAGGAAGCTTGGCGATGACGGTTATTGCCCGCTCAATTTCCTCGGCCAAGTCACCAACGACATAATTCCTATCGGATTCCATGGGATTCTCGGCGGCGGTCATAGATGAAAGGATTTTTTCGGTTTCATGGTTCATTGAAGTGTCGTGCTTGCCGCTCGGTGAGAAGGAATTGGAACCAGACTCGCAATTGGAGGTTACTGATGTCATCGAAGTAGCCAGACAACGGCTGAGGTTTCTCGACCCTTGCTTGAAATTTCTAAATCTTTTATTTTTTATTTGTTTTGTTCATCCACGTGGAAATGTTATTGATGAAATGTCACCAAGTCAGACACGTTAAAGAATTGGACGAAATTGTTTGTTTTGTGTATTTCTTAAAAAGTGGCTATTATTTTCACAAATTCAGAAGTTGTTCTTATGCACGTGTATTTGCCATAGATTTATAAGGTCAGTTTAACCTTAAACATTAAATGAGCTAGTTGGGTCTTATTCGGTTGGATTTTTGGGCACTAGTGGTTAAGCTACCTCTCTGCTTAAGTGGTCGACCACACCTCTCTGACCTCCATGGTCAGCGACCTCCTCTCCCTTATGCACGTAGCCGACGCCACCTCTCTCTTATAACAAGCCAGTTTGTATGAAATTTGGCTCTAAAAACTAAATGTGGAATCCTCCTCGCATGGTACCAAGCCGATAAGGCATACTTCGTAGCAAGGCAAATTGGTACCAAGTCAGGCTTGGGAGCAATGTATGAAATGTGACTCTCATAAACTAACTCCGAAATTTCAATGATTTGACGAGAGGACGGCAAGGTACAAAACCAATAGGGCTCTAGAGTACCAGCTTAATGAGGCTCCAAAAAGCTAAGTATAGAAATCAAATTGGCAAGGTACCTACCCGATGAGACAGAGGTGACACGGTGGCTAGTAGGTTGTCAATGTGCCAACATGACAAGCTCTAAAAAACTATCTGGAGACCACCTAATAGGGTATCAAGTCGGCAAGTCGACAAGGTACCAATGAGGGAGTCAGTCAAAAACTATGTTTGGAGACCAAGTCAACAAGACAAGCTTGGTAGCTAGGCAATGGATACCAAGCCGACAAGGCAATTAGGTATTGAGTTACCACACCTCCCAGAAACTAAGTATAGGATGGAGGGATGGAATAGGGTACCACGCCAATGAGACGGGCTTGGTGGTGAGTTGACAGTGTACCAAGCTATTCATGCTTTATACTAAGATGACAAGTTGACACCAAGACAAGGTTCCCTAGACTAAGTGTGAGGCCTTTGTTGGGGTAGGAGCCAAGTTATCATCCTGTCAAGGTGGGTAACAATGCATATCTATCAAGATGACGAGGGTGGTACCAGGTCAGTATGGAGGGGGCTCTCTCATATCATCAAGGTGGTAATAGTCCCATGAAAAAAAGGTTGTTACATCGAGGTGGCCAACAAGTCGAGGCCAATAAAAAAACTAAGTATGGAGCCATTAACGGTATCAAGGTGTGATAAGGATTTCATCATGGATGGAAGGCAAGGAGGCCTCAATCTCATCTAGTCGAGACAAGACGACAAGACTTGGGTGAAATTCAACTCGACACCAACCCGACTCGACGTCAATGTCATTAAGACAACAGTTACCAACTAATCACCTACGTGGCAATGAGGACCCCGACTCAGTTGGAGCAACTAGCAAGCTGACGGTTATCAAGGAAATTACAAATGATGACTATGAATAGAAGCAGCAAAGACTTAAGAAGGGTTTGCAAAACCAACACCCTGACATACAAGACAAGTTTATCATTTTCTCTAACCTGTAGTCATAGTTGTAACTTTTAGTTTCTAGAGCTCTCACTGAACCTCCATAGTAGTAGAGTAATTTAATTTAGTTTTCTCAGCCATTGAAAACATCAAACACTATCGTTTGAACTTTGTTCCAAAATGTGTAAATCGTGTTATTAATCGTTGCTCAAGAAGTCAAATGTGTGAATCCATTAATATCAAGCATAAGTTTCCTCACCAGAAAACAGTTACTGATTTCTCTGGCTTTCAAATGCATGGTAAGAAAGCTCCGGGGATTTCAATCCTTTAGGAAGCCATTTCAGGTAATGAGAACGGCTGCATTTAGCCGGAGGTGATCTCACTTTCCCGGGAATGAATGCTGTTATAAATGGGGAACGCTTCTAATGAAGGAAATGGTATAGTCTTCAGGTCATGAGCCTGATGAGTTGACCAATTCCTCTACCCCGCTTCGCTTTTATTCGAAAAGTTCAACTTGCATGTGTTAAGCATATAGTTTCAGTAGCATGATTTTACCTTCTTAGCGCTTTTCTACTAGGGACATATATGTCTGATCAACATAAAGGGAGTTGGCGCGAGTTTGATGGTGCTAGTGAATTGGTTGGTCCCTTGAGCAGTCTTGTTCTCGTTCAACTTCGTCATGAGTTGGAGATCATCGAGGACGTTCTTTTCAATGTTGTCAAAATCGAACCGGAGTATGACCCGGTAATCTAAGCATCTCGCACTTTAGTGGTCCAACCGACATTGAACCATTTAAAACCCGTTAGAAAACCGGTACCTTATATAAACAATAAAATTACAAATATAAGACACCTAAGGTAATAATTTAACAATATAATGACTAAAATAAAATTTACTAGGTACCACTTTGTAATATTACGTTGCATATATATATCAACCACCAAACAAAAATGAAAAAAAGAAAACCCTACCCCACCCCACCCACACCCAACGGCGCTCACTTCCCTTCTATCTCTCAACCTCTTTCTTTTCTTCATTCGTCTTTCCTTCTACCCAGCAGCGGCGGCTCTTCTTCCACCCATCCCAGCAGCGGCTCACCGCCTCAACCCATCTCGCACTCAAAGTCCCAATCTTATTTTCGTCCTTCTTTCTTCTATGATTCTTCTTCTTCCCTTTTCTTCCACCAACCCCAGCAGCGGCAGATCTGGGATGTGGAGGGCTGGAGGAGCTCTCCTGCGGCCACCATAGATCCGACGAATCCTTCGACAAAGCATAGGGAGGTTCGGACTGTGATTTTATTTATTTATTTCCTGAATATGGAGGAAAAACCGTTCAGACGGTCCGAGCAACTCAAACAGTTAACCGTTCCAGCCGCTCAAAAACCGTCATTTCCAGCCGCTGCGATTATTTGACTGTGCCGAGCCGGTTTGGTCACTTGGTGTCGATTTTACCGGTCGGACCAACCGGCTCGAGTCGGTTTTAATAACACTAGTTCTTTCTTTGCTTTGGGTTCTAGATAGTGACCATTCTCGGACACCAACTAATGAAATTTACGGAATCTCGATCTAGCTTCCTCAATGCTAGTTTGAATTTTTGAGGTTGTATCATTGCAAAAGCCGAACAGTGACTCAAGCCATGTATCAGCAAGTTCAACTAGTTTAGTCTCCTCCATGCCTAAGCTAAATTGATTTATTCCCACTTATCTTGAGCTTGGTGATACAGGGCTAGAGCCTATGTTCAGTTATTGCAGTGATACAGCCTCAAATAGATTGGACCATATATACGGTCTACGGTCCAAACCGACCGGTTAGAGTATAGAGCAGAGACCATGTCCCACATTATACAGTACATATCATATCACGCTTATGCAGAGTGGTCCGGTAAGGTCAGGTAAGATAGACCACATTGAACAAAAAATTAACAATTTATTTAGTCAACTGAACAAAAAGTTGAAACGTGAAAAAAGTTTTTCTTTTACAATGTTGTCAGACTGAACTAGAGCATGACCCAGTAATGTGAACGGTTCGCACTTTAGTGCTCCAACCGGTATTAGACCGTTAAAATACCGTTAAAGAACCGGTACCTTTTAAAAATAATATCATAAGTAAAAGACACATAGTAATAATTTAACAATTTAATGACTAAAATAAAATTTACTTTGCAAATACTACATAGTATTTAAGTAATGACTAAAACCTTTTTCAGATTCTTTAATATTATCCAAACTTATTAAAATGCTATTAATTAGGCAAATCTTTCATAATGCATCAAAATATTAAGCATTTTTACGTGATCGTTAATAATTTTATAACTCTTTTCTTAGTTAAAATACTAAATTTTTGGAATGTTAACCTTCATGTGTCTCTTCCTAGTCGTATCATGTTGACAAGTCAATATTATTAAAAGAATTGTTAATACTTAGTATTTCGATAGATTTTACTAATAAATAGTGATTACCCTAATAATTAATATTATATATATATATATATATATATATGGCGAGTTCTACGGTACCCTAGGTGAAATTCGGGGTACCACATACCTTGAGTATGAAAACACTACCTAGACCTTGAATTGACCGATCTTTCGGACATGATACTATACTCTAACACTTAAAGATCAAAATCTAGGTGTTAAATCTCCCAATCTTATACTTCAAGATCAATTTAATTAGAAATAATAATCGACGGTTATGATTCATCCAAATACAGGCACAAAAATGAATGCACCATCTTAGGGTTTATAGATTATGATGTAGATAATTATGACCTAGGGTTCACTCATTAAGGGTTAGGGTATAATATCAGACACAAAAATCCTGGTAATTCGAGGTCTAGATAGAGTTTACATACTCGAGGTATGCGGTACCCCGGATTTCACCCGGGGTACCATAGAAGCCACCATATATATATATATATATATATAAAATCTTTCATACTAAAATTTTGCAATGACCTTCATGTGTCTCTTCATGTTGACCAGAGCTTCTCTTCTTCTTCTCCTCCTCCTCCTCCTTCTTCGCTGGTAGTGTAGATCGCCAACAGAGCACCTGAACTTTCAGAGTCGTCACCGGATCAAAGTCTCTTCATTTTGCCTTTCATTTTCAGTTTTCGATTTTTTTTCAAATTTTTTTATTAAATAGAATGGCTGGAAGGGGAAAACTATAGGTGTCAATCGGGCGGGTTCGGGCTGGGTTTAATCGGGTTCGGGTTCAAACGGGTTGCGGGTTAGTCGGGTTGCGGGTTCATCGGGTTCGGGTTCATCGGGTTTGGGTTAGTCAGGTTGCGGGTTCATCGGGCTCGAATTCAATCAGGTTGCGAGCAAATCGGGTTGCGGGTTCATCGGGTTTTGGGTCG